GGAAGGAGATCATCGATACGTTTTCGAATTGCCTTGCCCGTTTTTTTGGCATTGTCTTGTGTAACTAAATTTATGTGTATTTGGGGCTTGTATGTGGAGAGCTAGTCACAGAAAAGAGCATTAGAACTGGAAAATCAATCCAAGAAAGGGTCTCCTACAAACTAGACCATGTTCACTTCAGTACTGGTACGTACTGCCTGACCGAAAATGTTAAGGTGCCCTAACGAAGCTGCCCGCACTGCAGCTTTTTCTTCTTCCCTCTGTTTTTGCTTTTCATTAATTCTCTTCCAAAAGTCAGAAACAGCTGTTGACTTTTTCTCTGCCTTTAAAAGGAAAGCAGTCAGTGGCAGGTATAATAAATAAGGATGAAAAAATTACATTTAGACATCACAGCATTATGGATATGGATCCAGCCTCATCCGAATCAGAAGCTCATCATGAGAACAACCAGAAGCTACTCTCACTGGATGACGTGGAGTCCAATATCCGAGGGTCTCAGCTGAACCAGAAGCTCATCACAAAGCAACCATAAGCTGCTCTTGCTTAGCTAAGCCCAATCCAATCTTCCACCGAACCGGAAGCTCATCACAAAGCAACCATAAGCTGCTCTTGCTTGGTGAAGATTGGAAACGCCTTAAGTATAAGCCTAAAAAAAATCTGACCTTGAACTTATCTATAATGAACTTTGTATCAGTGTCGCCGTCCATAATTTTCTGTAGACTGGCCAAGTAACCATCGTGTTCAAGATGGCGATCTTCTGAAAAAGAGGCTTGCTTTTCTCGCTGCGTCAGGTACTCATAAAGGTAATTATCAGACTCATTGTTAAGTATGGCCTCGATAATTGCTTTCCTGTCCTTTGCATCCATTTGGTTTGACTCCAGTGATGGAAGTGCGCGTTTAGATAGAAGTCGCGTTTTTATTTTGCGAAACCAGCACTGTAATTGGGCGGAAAGTGAGATCACGTGATAAATGGATGCAGAATCCGTGATTCACCACGTGCTTCACTTTCGTCATCCGAGAAAGGCCTTGCCTGGGCCAAATTTAGAGAACGCCAGAACACTAACGACCGAGGGACAGCAATCACGAGCTTTTCGCTTTCCTTTGTTCATGGTTGAACAGGCACATCTTGTTACAAAAAGCACAACACACTTTACCTAGCATGACCACATCTGGAACAGAAAAGCAAAAGTTAAAGAAAAAATCGACGAAACTGTTAGACTTACTTAAGTCGTTTCATTAAACAGAGAAAATGAACATTAATCAATAAAAGTTACAAAAATATATGTAAAATTATATTGCGAGCAAGTCTAATTAGTGCTGTCAGCGGTTTTCTTCGCGAGGCGGCTGCGCTCCCTCACCGTGACAATAGAGCTCTGTAGTGTCGATGCTTAG